GATCAGCATTTTAAAAACTGTCAGTTAAAAATTTTCACTGAGTAGTACAGAATAAAGACTATCAGACTGTGTTGCATGTTTCAAGGATAAGCACTGATCTGTGAAACTTTTGTTTGTATGTATATATAAAATCTGTAAAGTACATAAAATATATACAGATGTATGTACTGAGTTGATACAAAAATGTTATTTCTTAGAGTGGGTTGGAAGAAAAATGTTTGAAAACCTCTGCTATTGTATACACCTAGATATAGATTCAGTAGGGAAATCACTGTGAATAATGCATCTTTCAGTTTTTCTAGAAATTGCCAAATTGTTCTCCAAAGCAGTATCAATTTATACTAAAAGTACCTATATGTGTTTCCATTGCTACATAACACTGTCAACATTTAATACTGTCATATAGTTATAGCTTTCAAACTGGTAAAGATGAAAATAGTATCTCATTGTTTGAACTTACAATAATTCGAGAACTAGTGAGAATGATTATATTCATATATTTATTTTCCAATTATTTATTTTTCTGTGAATTGCCAGTTCCTACATTTTGCCAATTTTTCTACTGGACTGCATGCTTGTTTCTTGTTGATTAGTACGGTTTAGTAGTCTGGATACTAACCCTTTACCTGTGAAGCATTGCAAACATCTCCTCTCAGTCTGTGGCTGCTTCCTTCACTTTTGGTGTTGCTTTGTTTGTGGTGTCACATTGTTGCTTTGTTTGTGGTGTCACATGGTTTGTTTTTTAGGTAACGGCTTTATTCCTTGGCAAACTCCTAAACTACTTTCTCTACCCATGGATTTACCTACCCTGGACTTCACAAAAATGAAATTATACAATAGGGAGCCTTTTATGTCTGCTTTTTACACTAAGCATGTTTCTTTCATCCACGCTGTAGCATGTATCAGTACTTCGTTCCTTTTTACTGCTGAATAATATTCCACTATATGAATATACCATATTTTGCTTATCTACTCATCAGCTGATAAACATTTGGGTGGCCTTTACTTTTTGGCTATTATGAATAACGCTACTTTGAACAGCCATGTATAAGTTTTTATGTCTACAAATTTTTCATTTCTGTAAGGAGAGAATTCCTTACAGAATTCTTTACAATGGGTCATAGAGTAACTGTATATTTAATATTTTAGGAACCGTTTTCCAAGGTGGCTACATCATTTCTTGATCCCAGCAGCAATGTATAAGGGTTCCAATTTCTCTACATCCCCCTCCGACATGTGGTATTATCTGGCTTTTTATTTTAGCTATCCTAGTGGTGTGAGATGGTATCTCATTGTGGGTTTTGATTTGCATTTTCCTAATGACTAATGATGTTGAGCCTCTTTTCATGTGCTTATTGGCCATCTGCATATCTTCTTTGGAGAAACGTCTATTCAAATCCTTTGCCCATTTTAAAAATGAGTTATCTGTTTACCAACTCCTATGGCTTACTAACACCCATCCATTCCTTCAACTTTCCTGAGTTCCTATTACATACCAGGCACAATAAAAACAGTAAATTCTCAAATGTTTGCTGCAGGAGTTTACTAATTAGGCAGCAAAAGGCTGAATCACACCCATGGTCTCAGTATAACTGTATATTTCACTGTAGTTAGAAATTATCAGAAAGCAGCAGACTGATTTACAACAGACCACATTATAAAATGAATCTCCCAACACAGGGGTTATCCCAATCCTTCAGGGCCTTAGAGCATACTTGTACTATTTCTATAGTCAGAAGCAAAAATTATTTTAAAGCAAAAGGAAAAAAAGTCACCTTAACCTTCATAAAGGGTCTTTAAAGTGGTCTTAAGGACAACAAACGTTAAGAGAATTTTTCTTAGATCAAATGGGTCAAGAGAGAGAGCTTACTTGCTTAATTGGTCACAAATTACAAATTATATTATAGAAGCTTTCTTAGAAGCTATTCAGAAGGCAACTGACTTTTGAGGCCACAAACCATGTATTTAAATCAAGGAAGGCACACCCACTCAGAATGCAAACACAGCCTCTACCCATCCTTCTCAATTGCCTATTCTGCCTATAAACACTGCTTCTTTCTTTCAAAATCTGAATCTAATTGAATCTCAACCAATTAACTATCTTGCTCAGAGCACCATGAAGTTTCTAGGGCACCTAGGCTAACCTTTAAAAGTGACAAGTCTGCCTTCCCTGAACATCCAAGTTCTAAAATGCTATCTTAAGAATACAGTGGTTTATATATGAAATACTGGTCTTGTTTCTTGAGAATTTTTATTGAAGTGAATTCCTGAGTACCTCGAATGACTCTGAGATCTTTCATATCCAGCTAGGAAGAATCAAAATGTTCTTCTCTTTGGAACAAAAAACATTTCAAACAAAAATCTAGTCCCACAAGTTGTAATGTAGTTACAACATTATTTTTGCCAAACCTTGAGGTCTTCCGGTGTTTCATCAGGCCCAGCAAAACCTGAACAGGTGTAGTGAACATTCTAGCTCCTCCTCCTGCTCCTGTCTCATAATTACCTTTTCACAGTTACTGTTTCCTCTCAGTGGAAACAAAAGCTAGCAGCTATTTAGTAAACCACCCTTCATTAGTTATTCATTTGCCTTCTAAGTATTGTACAAGCACCAGGACCAGCACTGTGTTCTTTCTACTTCCCCTGTCTTATTATTTAAAAAAGAACAAAACCTGAGCCCCAATTCCTCTTTAAGACAAAACCTTAATTATTTTGGTAGCTAGAGGCTGTCATCCTTCTAATATCTCAGCAAAATTACTCCTAAAGGAAAGAGAGTGAGTTCCAAAACTGTCTCAAAAGCAGATAATTTTCTTTCCATACTTGTTAACTAATTAAGGAAGGTAAAATGTGTGTCCAAATCTCAAACGTTCTAAAAAGAAATGCAAGATCTAAAACTAAAAGTGCTATTAACAAGGAGCTTTAAAAAAAAAACCACAGTATTATATTTCAGGTGTAACCAAAACATAGACTTCAATCAAATGTTAAATCTATAGTAAGAAACTCCTGGAAATTAAGATCACTAAATACTGCAACATGCTGATGAGAAATTTTCCTGTAAATTCTCTGGAGGTCTTTAAAAATAGGATAGAATCATCTATCAAGATTAGTTTTAATAAAGTCTTACAAAGATATAAAGAGACTAAATTACCTAAACCCCCAAAGATTCCTTCCAGCTCTAATTCTACCAAAGCTTCAGATTCTAATTCTTTCAGTTTCCCTAATGCTAACTGCTACTCTTTACCTCAAATACAGGCTGACCCTCTTCTCTCCGAATAGCAGAAAGGAAAATTTACTGCTGTTATTCTTCCTCATGAAACTGAGTCTACTGTCATCATTAAAAAACAGTAATGATACACCCAGGAGGATGTCTACTGGAAAGAAAAACTCCAACAGTCCTGTGATGTTTCTCCTTTATTCTCACACTACTGCCACACTCACAACACTTCTGACACCAGATTTGGGGGAGGGGAAATATTTTCACACTGGCAAGCAATACTGCAAAAACAACTGAGTGTCCTACAACTGACTTAATTCTAAAACTACCCACCTGGAGAGAGCGTAACATCCCACAGGTCAAGGGCTCTGTCCCACAAGACTGTCCCCGAGTCCCCTAACTTCAGATGCCAATTGCAAGTCTAGGTTGTCACCTGTGCTTCTCACCAAGTAGCTATAAATCAGAGGTTCTCACGACCTCCTCCTCCAGGGTGATTAATTTGCTAGAGCAGCTCACAGAACTCAAGAAAACCTTTTATTTACTGTTTACTAATTTATTATAAAACGATATGATAAAGGACAGAGATGAACATCTAGTTTGAAGAGATGCACAGGGCAAGGTGTATGGGAAGGGGTGTGCCACTTTCCCAGCACCTCCGTGTGTTCAGCAACCAGGAAGCTCTTCAAATCCTGTGCTTTTGGGATCTTTATGGAGGCTTCATCATGTAGGCATGATCAACCATTAACTCCATTTCCAGCCCCTGTCCGCTCCCTGGAAAATGGGAGGTAGGACCGAGAATTCCAAGCTTCTAATCATGGCTTGGTCTTTCTGGTGAACACACACACACCCTCTTTTATCTCACATCTACCATAAAAATAATAATAATAATAACAACAAGTATTGGTAAGGATGTAGGAAAACTGGAACCTTGTGCACTGTTGATGGAAATGTAAAATGGTGCAGCCACTGTGGAACGCAGTATGGCATTTCTTCAAAAAATTTTAATTTTAATTTTTCTTCAAAAAATTAAAAGTAGAATTATGATCCAGCAACTCCACTTCTGGGTGTATATCCAAAAGAACTGAAAGCAGGATCTGAAAGGGATATTTGTACACTTGTGTTCATAGCAGCATTAGTCAGAATTGCTAAAACATGACAGCAACCCAAATGTCCACTAAAAGATGAATGGCTAAGCAAAGGGCGGTATTTATGTACATACAACAGAATATTATTCAGCTTTAAAAAGGAAATTCTGATACCTGCTACTACATGGATGAACCATGAGGACATTATATTAAATGAAATAAGCCAGTCAAAAAGAAAATTCTATATGATTCCACTTATGAGGTACTTACAGCAATCAAAATCCCAGAGATACAAAATAGAATGGTGGTTGCCAGGGACTGGGAAAAGGGGGAAATGGGGGGATTACTGTTTTACAGGTATAGTTTGTTTTACAAGATGAAAAGAGTCATGGAAATGGATGGTGGTGATGGCTGCACAATATGAATAAACTTAATATCACTGAACTGTACACTTTAAAATGGTTAAGACAGTAAATTTTATGTTCTGTGTATTTTACCACAATAAAAAATAATGGGGGAAAAACCTGAAAACAAAAACAATAATGTCTGATTGTTTCATACGCCCATTCTACAGGATCTATTCATTGGAACTCTAAACCCAAATCCAACAAAGTGGCCAGCATATACAGTCTTATGATGGTTCTACTTTCAATTTTTCAACTTAATGATGGCACAAAAGTGATATACATTCACTAGAAACCTACTTTGAATTGTGGTCTTTTCCCGGGATAGCAATGTGCAGTATGATACTCTCCCCGATGCTGGGCAGCAGCAGTAAACCGAATCTCCCAGTCAGCCATGTCATCACGAGGGTAAACAAGTGATGTTCTACAGTGTAGTATTAAATGCATTTTCAACTTATGATGGGTTTATCAAGATGTAACCCGAACATAAGTCGAGGAGCATCTGTACATTCATCCCTTCAAATACAGAAGCATAGATTCTGCAGAGTGTAGAGATCTTACAAGTTTTTAACTTCTCTTCTGTTCATTAAAAGACAAATATTGGGATATGTGAGGAAATGAACTTATATCTCAGGGTTAAACACCATGTTATACTCTAAATTTATATTTTAGTGAAAACATGACCCACATCTGTGCACTTAACACCCTAGGTAAACTTTTATGCATATCTGGCAACCTATCTCCCAAAACCTGTGGGAAAACAGGAGTTGGAGCACTAGCACAACACTTTAAGACAAAACAAAAACGTTTTTTCAATATTTTTAAGATACTCTTGTTCTCGTGAAGTTACCAAAAACCCCTCTTTTGCTTAAGAAAAGAAAGGGAAAAAACCTCACAGACAATATTCCTCAAATTAGTGTACAAAGCTGCATACCTAAAGTCTGTTTTAAAAGACTTACAAAAGACTTTCTAGAAGCAGCCCTAAACATTCTTTAGGGCATTTCATTAGACTATTCTTCCAAATGCCACCGTGGTGTCTTGAGTGGAATTTTTCACTAAAATATATTAGAAAATGTTAAGCCAGATGTTTAAGCCATATACATTTTTAAGTTTCATTTTAGCAACTTGAAATTTCTTCACCTTATTAGTCAGCAATCTCTGAAGAAATATCATACTTACAAAGACTAAATTGTTAGGAATTACGGAAGGGAGGAATTTAATTTACTACTAAACCAGAACATAACTTTTGTTAAGTGAAGAGATCACTTAAACACAGAGCACCTGTGTGAATATCTTTCTCTTGATTTCCTTTTCCTCCTTAAAAATCATAATCCACTCATTCACCTGCAGTGTATTCTCTGACTCCTCCCCGTTAAGTTTCCCTGTTACATTCTATACCACAATATTGTCTTATTAGCCATTTATATTGCTAGGAAAACAACTCTTCCCACTGCTTATAATAAGCCGACTCTCATCACTTCCTCTCTCACACATTATTTCTTTAAAAATGAAAGTAAATCTTTTGAATTTGTGTATTATGCTGCTTACACCTCACAACTTCAGTGGGGGTCAAGTCTCTTGTATGTATTCCCCCTCCCCCCAACATTTATAGTCTTAGAGATATGCTTTATTTTTTGTTTCATACAAATGGCAACAGGCCTATCTATCATTATCTACTAATTGGGAGGGAGCCTGCCATATATTTATGTTAAAGCCAAATTAAATCACAACAGTCACACAGCTGCTACAAGGGGGAAAAAAGTGTCCTTTAATATATGAATAAGATTTATAAGTATTAAAGTCAATTGCAAATACAACGCTCTCTTCCAGCAACACTGATCTTGCATCTTTTTAACGAACTCATCTTCTAAAACCACATTTCAACAGAATATCAGTCAGTCCAGAGAACTGGAAGGTTGATAATAATTACTATCTTGAACTGAGAACTTTTCAAAATATTTCAGAACTGCCTGGACTTGGGTGGTGATTCATTCGGCCTTGGTTAATTAGAATAGAGTCATCACAAGTCACCACCAGATTAAACAATCCCCTTGTCTGATAGAAATATTGCTCAAAGGGACCACCCCAAGTTGGGGTCTCTTAAGAGCAAGATGCTTTTGAGGCACCGGCCCGGGTTCACTTCCAGATCTGTGATCCAAAGTCTTGCTTGTAGAAGGGGTAGGTATGTGGGAGAAAAAGGCTGAGTGGGTTTCCGCCTGGTACCATCTCCTAACTTTCTTTGCCTCCTGAGGACCCCAAGATGGTATTCCTTGGAGAGCCTCAGGACTCTAAGAGGAAGCAACCATTTCGAGGGCATGTGGCGGGAGCCTTCAGAGAAAGAATCAAGAGCCCCTGAGTGGTTCCTCCTTGTCCTGAGGGGTCACTCCGTGCCTCCCCTGGAGGGGCCACCCGCACTTCTGGCTGGATCGGGTAGAGGAAGGTACCCGGGCTTTGAGCAGAGCCCAAACCTGCGGGGACAGGGGAGGAAGACCTCAGGCGAGGAGAGACTGGGGAGCCCCTGAGCCGCCTTTGAGGCTCCAGGCTCGGGGCAGGCCCCGTCAGCGCCCGGACACCTGAGCCGCGCCCGACGTCCGCTCCGCGGATGGTCACCGCGAGCCGGGCGTTGAGCCCAAACCTGCGGGGACAGGGGAGGAAGACCTCAGGCGAGGAGAGACTGGGGAGCCCCTGAGCCGCCTTTTAGGCTCCAGGCTCGGGGCGGGGCA